ACCTTCCTTCCAAGGAGTGGCTGGTGGGTTTGAACCGCCAGCCTTCTGGTTAGCAGTCAAGTGCCTTAGCCACTATGCTACCAGAGCTCCCCTATAGCATTGGTTATATCTAGGAGGGAGAACTGGCCAGCTGAGAGGATGGGGGGGGGGGGCATTTTTCGACCATTATAGCTCTTGAATTATTTCTCATCAGACTCTGATCTATTTTAATAAATTAAATGTAGCTGGAAATGCCATAGATAGGCTTTGGTGATTGAGCTTAAAGTAGTGGAGATAGCCTTATCTTATGGAAGGAACATGGGTCTAGAATGAAAATATCTGGAAAGTGCTGAACTATTAGCCGAAAGCTTGGCACTTTGAGCTCATCCAGAGGTCCCTGGGAAGACAGGCCTAGTGATCTGCTTCAGAAAAGTCACAAACTTGAAAACCCTGTGGAGCAGTTCAGCTCTGCACGCTAGGTCACCATGAGTTGGACACCAACTCGATGTCAGCTGACAACAACAATTTTCTCTTTCCTTCTGTCTGTGTCTTTGAGAAAATCATTCATCCTTTCTAGCCCTCAGATAAGGAACCCTAGTGGCACAGTAGTTAAATATGCAGCTGCTAACAGAAAGGTTGATGGTCAAACCCACCAGCTACTCTGCATGAGAAAGCTCTGGCAGTCTGCTTCTGTACAGATTACAGCCTTGGAAACCCTATGAGGCAGTTCTGCTCTATCCTATAGGGCCACCATGAGTAGGAATTGACTTGATGGCAATGGGTTAGGCCTCTGGTCTTTCCTTTATAAAGTGAGGGTATTAGACTAGAACAGTGGCTCCCAAACAGTGTATCAAAGCATCAAGTTATATTGCTGCTAAAATTGAAAAATGAACTTTAAAAAAATTCACTGGGGAAAATGTAGAATAGAATGTTTTCAATATTAGATTTTTCTCTGGCAATTTTTTTTTTGCTTCCTATTACCAAGTGCCCGCCACGTGTCAGTCACTTTGTCATACTCTGGTGGCTGGCATGTTGCTGTGAGGCTGGAGGCTATTGCCACTGGTATTTCAAAAACCAGCAAGGTCACCCATGGTGGACAGGTTTCAGTGGAGCTGCTAGACTTAGAAGAAAGACAGACTTAGAAGAAAGAAGGAGTCATCCACTTCTCAAAGATTTGTCCAGTGAAAACCTTATGAGTAGCAGTGAAACACTGTCGATATAGTACTGGAAAACTTTATGAATAGCCCTGAAACATTGTCTGATGTAGTGCCAAAAGATGAGCCTCTTAGGTCACAAGGCACTCAAAATAAGACTGGGGAAGAGCTGCCTCCTCAAAGTACACTCAACCTTAATGACGTGAATGGAGTAAAGTTTTTGGGATCCGCATTTGCTGATGTGGCACAACTCAAAATGGGAAGAAACAACTTCAAACATCCATTAATAATTGGACCATGTGTATGAAGTATGAATACAGGAAAATTGGAAGTTGTCAGAAATGAAACAGAACACATAAAGATCGATATCCTAGACATTAGTGAGCTGAAATGGACTGTTTTTGGCCATTCTGAATCAGACAACCATATGATCCATTATGCTGGGAATGACAAATTGAAGAGGAATGGTGTGGCATCATTGTCCCAAAGAATGTTTCAAGATCTGTCCAAGTATGAGGCTGTCAGTGATAGGATAATATCCATATACCTACAAGGAAGGCCAGTTAATACTACTATTATTTAAACTCATGCATCAATCACCAAAGCCAAAGATGAGGAAATTGAAGATTTTTACCACCTTCTGCAGTCTGAAACTGACCAAACACACAATCAAGATTTGTTGACTATTACTGGTGATTAGAATGCAAAAGTTGGAAACAAAGAAGATTCACCAGTAGCTGGAAATAGGGTCTTGGTGACTGAAATGATGCTGGAGATTGCATGATAGAATTGTGCAAGACCAATGACTTATTCTTTGCAAATATATTTTTTCAACAACATAAACAGTAGCTACACACGTGCACTTTGCCAGATTGAATACACAGGAGTCAGGATTGAAGGAAAACTCATTAACAACTGCATCTGTGGAAGCAAGGCCAGGAGTTGACTGTAAAACACACCATCAGCTGCTCATATGCAAGTTCAAGTTTAAGCTGAAGACAATTAAAAATAAGTCCATGAGAACGAAAATATGACCTTGATTATATCCCACCTGAATTTAGAGACCTTCTCAAGAATAGATTTGACTCATTGAACACCAGTGACCAAAAACCATAGGAATTGTGGGCTGACATCAAGAACATCATCCATGAAGAAAGCAAAAGGTCATGAAAAAGACAGGAAAGGAAGAGAAGACCAAAATGGAAGTCAGAAGAGACTATGAAACTTGCTCTTGAATGGAGAGTAGTTAAACCAAATGGAAGAAATGACAAGATAAAAGAGCTGAACAGAAGATTTATAGCTTGAGAAGACAGAGTCAATTATTATAGTGAAATGTGCAGAGGCTTGGAGTTAGAAAACAAAAAGGAAAAACACATTCACCATTTCTCAAGCTGAAAGAACTGAAGAAAAAATTTAAGCCTTGAGTTGCCATACTGAAGGATTCTGTAGGCAAAATATTGAAAGATACCGGAAGCATCAAAAGATGATAGAAGGAATACACAGTTACTGTATCTAAAAGAATTGGTTGATGTTCATCCATTTCAGGAGGTGGCATATGATCAAGAACCAGTGGTCCTGAAGAAAGAAGTCAAAGCTGCAGTGAAGGTTTGGCAAAAAACTAGGCTCCAGGAATTGACGGAATATTGATTGAGATGTTTCCACAGATGGATGCCTCCCTAAAGGCACTTATTTGTTTATGCCAAGAAATTTGTGAGACAGCTACCTAGCAGACTGACTGGAAGAGATCCATACTTGTACCCATTCCAAAGAAAGGTGATCTCACGGAATGTGGAAATCATCGAACAACATCATTAATATCACACACAAGTAAAATCTTACTGATGATAATTTAAAAATGGTTGCAGCAGTATATTGACAGAGAACTTCCAAAAGTGCAAGCTAGATTCAGAAGAGGATATGGAATAAGGTATATCATTGCTGATGTCAGATGAATCTTGGGTGAAATTAAAGAATACCAGAGAGATGTTTAATTACAGATTATGGACAACATTGAGAAGAATGGGAATTCCAGAACACTTAATTGATTGTGCTTGTGAAGAACCCATACAAAGACCAAGAGGCTGTTGTTCAAACAGAACAAGGTGATACTACATGCTTTAAAATCAAGAAGGCTGTGCATCAAGGTTGTATTCCTTCACCATACTTACTCAGTCTATATGCTGAGCAGATAATCCAAGAAGCTGGACTATATGAAGAAGAACATGGCATCAGGATTGTAGGAAGACTCATTAACTACCTGTGATATGCAAATGACACAACTTTGCTTGCTGAAAGTGAAGAGGACTTGAAGCACTTGCTGCTGATGAATATTGAGGACTACAGTCTGCAGTATGAATTACACCTCAACATAAAGAAAAAGAAAATTCTTACGATTGGACCAATAAGCAGCATTACAATAAATGGAGAAAAGATTAAAGTTGTCAGAGATTTCATATTACTTGGTTCCATAATCAACATTGTTGGAAGCAGCAGTCACGTGTTGCACTGGGCAAATCTGTTTCAATAGACCTCTTTCAAGTGCTGAAGAGCAAAGATATCTTCTTGAAGACTAAGATGAGCTGAACCCAAGCCATAGTATTTTTAGTTGCCATATGCATATGAAAGCTGGACAATGAATAAGGAAGACCGAAGAAGGCTGGATGCTTTTGTGTTTTGGTGTTGGCAAAGAATACTGAAGGTACCCTGGACTGCCAGAAGAATGAACAAATCTGTACTGGAAGAAGTGCAGCCTGAATGCTCCTTGGAAGTGAGAATGGCCAGGCTTCATCTGACCTACTTTGGTCATGTTGTCAGAAGGGACCATTTCTTGGAGAAGGATATGATGCTGG